ATGTGTTACTGGTGGATCGAGAGCCATTGGGAGGTAAACTCTTCAGCCCACTTGAAAGAGCTCCTGATCTCCAGTCCACAGTCTTCAGATGTCATTAACTCTAGTCCCTGTGTTTGCTGGTTAGTGTCGGCACCCTGTGCTGTGTGAGATCTTGAGGGAAGTGTTAATGTTGTACAGTAGATGTTTCTACCCAAAACACTCCCAAGTTACAGTTTCCTCAACTTTGTTATAAAGACTCCTGGCTTTATTTAAAACGACATTTTAACAAAAATAAACTAAAAAAACAAAATTAAAACCATCAAGAAATAAAAAACATCTAGATAATAATAAGAGTTATACAAAATAAACAGAAGCAGGTTTAAAGAGACTAAAACCACAACCTTTAGTGGTTTAGAAACATTTAGAAACCTTGTCGGAACATGGTTACTACAATTCATTTCATGGGGCAACTTGTCAGTGATTATTTGATTAATGTAAAAATGCCCAAGGCTTAGAAAAGGACAAAATGCACTCTGCCTCCTAACCCCAGAACACAAACCCCCTTTTATGTAAATCTTGAATCTTGAATGTTGAATCTTAGAAAGATGACAATAAAGAAGAGGCCATTTGGTCAATCTAGCCCCTTATTTACTGATCCAAATCTCATTCAATTCAAACTTTATTTGTCATTATACTGACACGGGTGCATAGTAAAGTCCCCCACAATCACCATAAGCCCCTATAATTGCACATGCCCTTCATTGTTGCACATAACATCTAATAACAGTTGGTCAAAAACCAGTACTCCTTTATTGTAAACTCATTTGCTGAGTAGTGTTACTGAATGCAAGATAAAGGTTTTGCTCTTTTTGTTGCTTCTGCACTGAGGGACTCTAAAATGCCTCTTCGAAGGCATCAGCCGGTACTCTTCATGCAGAACAAGTAAGGGATCAGAGGAGATTCTAGCAGCCAGGCTCCCCTCACTCTTACTGTAAGCAGTTTGAACGCTCTGCTCAAGCCGCCTGTAACAGATCTCCCCCTGATATGGTAACATGATGGGGAAATCTGCCCAAAAATTGTCCTCATAGAAGTGTCTTGTCATTAATCAGAACACACCAATGTACAGTAATCTTCCAGGCCGAATATACAGTAGGTCTTTGCTTTCTCCTGTTAGTAACAGAGGAAAACCCACACCCTGTCAGACCCATTTGGCCAAACTGTCAAACACTTTCGTCCTCGTACCAGCAGCTGACACAGCTACGACCGAGGCTGTTGCCCAGAACTCAGATGGTTGTTGTTATTAGAAAGATATAAGATGTGAAGAAAGGGTTAACTGACTCCTTTCTGCATGAGGAATGGACGTCTAAGTAACAGGCTTAGAGTTATGGCAGGAAAGGGGGATAACTGATAAGGATTCCAGATGCCTTAGCCTGAATTGGTTTTCTTTGTTTTAGGGCTGTGTAAACTCTCTCTCTGAGATTTTCCTGACTCACTCTTCAATGAATCATCAGTGTCTGAACAGACACCTTGTTGTTACTCCACTTGGCTTATGTGGGAGAGGCTGTACCGACCAGTGAAGCTAATTCCCCGGTTCCCTTGTACAAATGTAGTGTAAGGAATGTCTCATTGCTGCCCCCTGGTGGCTCCACCCTCTTTTCACCTCCTAAACCTGGCAGCCCTGGTTTACAAGGTTTACAACAAGAAGGATTTCTTTCAGTTCCCATGTACAGTGGCAGTATTTCTGGCACTTCACAGGGCAAAAACAATAAAATAACAATAATATTAAACAGAAATAACGATGGAGCTAAAAAGAGTGGAAAATAGAGAAAAAGCAAACACTAATTGAAAGCCTGACTAAACATTAAGTCTTTAATCTTTAGATTTAAATACTGTAAAAGAGTTTATATTTCTCAGAATGGCAGGGAGTGAGTTTCAGGTAGCTGGAGGTGCGTGCTTGATCCTGTAAAAAGGTACTGTACTACTGAACGGTGTGACTCAGCAGAGATTAAAGCCATTCTTGGTACAAACAGTAGGCAGTATTGCTGGGATTGGTATTTAAGGTACAGTACATTGATGCTGCTGTCCCTTATATTGAGCTGTGCGCTGTGACCTGTGTCAGAACAGACTGTCAATGTGAGGTTGTGTATGGATTGTTCAATCTCTGTGTAGGACTGCTGTTACTGACCAGCTCGAGCCAGTGCTCTGCTTTAGCATATGCTGATGTAGCAGAACATTATTACACTATTACATTATTAAAGTTTTATTTTAGCTTTGTTTACAAAAACTGTGTAAAATCAGTAAGGAGTCTGAAATGTGAAACCCTTGGTGTAACTAAGAGACAGACGTTGTTACACCCTGAGCTGAATCAGTGTGCTGTGCATTTGGAGTTTGACAATTCTATGTGGATCATGATTACCCTCACACTCCTCTGGACATGGTAAAACTTTAACTTTGAACCCTGTCTCTGCTGTTTCCTTCGTGGCTTCTGCCTCTGAGTGAAACAGACAACTCATAGTCTCGCTGGAAATCTGAAATGTTATTTTTTGTGATTTCAGCACCTCGTTTAGTTTGTAGTATCCGATGTGTTTTTAAGTACTGCCGGGGGTAATCGTGATCCACATAGAATGTTTTTTTTTAATTACAGACTTATTACAGTTATTACGCACAACCTCTTCTTTTGTTCTGTATCTTGAGAACTTGGTTCACGCTCTGGGCCTGTGGGTCTTGGTGCGAACGCTCTGCGCCTGTTCAGTTCTGATTTCCATGTCCTTTGGCAAGAAGAGTTCCCCCCTCAGCAGATTTTCAATGAAAGTAATCATACACCGTCCCTCTGATTCTTCAGGAATACCGTAAATTCGAATGTTGTCTCTGTTCCTTCGAGGTCCAGTAGTTTTGTTTCCAGAGAATTTTATCGTCTTAAAAACGGCTTTATCACAGTTTCTACTGTTAGCACCCTTGTTTCGTCTTGTTCCATTCACCCCTCCATCCCGTCCAGTCTTTTATTCACCTTGCTCATCTCCTGTTTATTATCCCGTCTGAAGTCTGGGAGTACCTCCGGTACTTTCTGGAGACTAACGTCTGCGCCATCATGTTCGGAGCTTGAGATCTACCTCGACTGTGTTCAGAAGACGCTATTTCACTATTTTCCACAGTTGGTAGCTTTCTCTTGCATCTCATCACAGTCCCTTCGGCCATAATTATTGTTTTAGAAACTTAATGTATCAGAAAAAAATCAGTATTTTCAGGGCTGTGTAACACAGCCATTCTAGTCCACATCCTAACCGGAAGTCCTAGTAGTTTTATTACATGTGAGAGCAGTGAGACTGCGCTGAACACAGATCAGAGCAGTGATCTGTCAGCAGTGAGACTGTGCTGAACACAGAGATGAGAGCAGTGATGTGTCAGCCCTGCAGCTCTGTGTTCAGGGAATGTGGGGGCAGCAGCTGGTTCCTCTTGGCTCTGTGCTCCAGGAGGGAAAGTCTGTTCCCAGTCTGGGGGGATGATGGAGTCCAGCAGGTGCAGTGCAGGGTACAGTGAAGCTTCAGTATCCCTAAGGGTTTGATATCTTGAAGACCCTGCGAATGCTGGACAGTAATATCTTGTTGAGAGAATTGGGTTTGGTTCCACGGCTTCTGTGCTTTTTTCCTTCTCTGTAGGGGGCATTTTCTCTAGCCTTTACGTGTTCAGCTTATTGTTTTTATTACTTTTGTGCACACAGCACTACTGGAGTGTTAGCACGCTTATTACAGTGCAGTAATAACATACAAAGAAAGTGAATAAAGTGTTCAGCCCTGCGCGTCCTGTACAAGTGGGTGTGTCTCTCTTACAGGGGCTGGGGATGAACGTGGGTGTGTTAGCTGCTCCTGGGTGGTGGTGGGGGTGTGGATGGAGAGGCAGCCGTCACCTCACTACATTGACGGTTCTGTTTTTCAGAAATTCACTGTTTAATTCCTGGGGTGCTGTCTGTGTGGAGTTTGTGTGTTCTCCCCATGTTCGTGTGGGTTTCCTCCAGTTGCCCCGGTTTCCTCCCAGAGTCCAAAGACATGCTGCTGGGCTTCTGGGGTGATGGGCTGATGGGATGGCCTGGTGTCCAGGGTGTACCCTGCCTTGTGCCCATTGCTTACTGGGATAGGCGATCCTGAATTGGTTGAAGTGGTTAGAAAATGGATGGATGGATTGTTGAGGATGGCTGTCTAGTGGAAAGTAATAAACGTTTGTCTTTTTTCCAGGAAACCTTGGGAGGATATTGAAACGTTTCAGTGTCCCATTTGTGTTTTTTGCCTTTTTAACGGTGGTGATGTCTGGTAAGTAAGACATTCTCCAAAATCAGTTTATGAGCAGCTGTTCAGTTATAAAACCTAACATACAAAAAAAGTTATCACTGTTTTATTACGTTTTGCTTTGGTAGACATTAATAAATATAATGTAGATGTTTATCAGGCAAGAATTATTGATAACTGAGGTGTATAACTATGTATCCCTGTCCAGTTATTCTTGCAGAATATTTTAAAACCAGAGCGCCGGACACAGCTGGCAAACAAACTATTGGGATCCTCAGCGGGTTAGTGTTCCTGTCCTCTCTCTTCGGGATTGTTGTAAAAGGTAAGACAATACTATTTAAAATCTGGCATAACATTTTTGAGGAAATTCTTTAAATGAAACTTGCCATTTTTTCAGTATAATTTTCTTTCTCGGTTTTTTTCTAATAAAAGTGTATCCGTTCTCTAGCAGCATGACAAGAAATTGAGCCCCTCCCAAGTGTCTGTAGAGTAAGAATATACATTCTGCTTTTCCTCTTCCAGGACACCTAATAAAGTTCCACAAGCAAATTTAAACTACATTTTAGATTACAACCTTCACTACATTTTTCAGACTGTTTTCTTCCATCTGACCCTGGCTGTCGTGCTCTGAATGATTAAAAAGTTGGAAATCTTATTTTACTTCATAAATTACTTTAAAAAACTATAAATAAATTACTTGTAAAATGACTTAATAAATATTCCTAGAGTGTGTTTTTAAACCTTGTGGTAAATGTAGCCTTTATTCTGAGAGCTGAATCTTTTAAAGTCATCAGGCTGTCTTACAGAGTCCAAGGCTGATCTTTTTTTTTAGGGTTGCATCTTGAATTATTTCAAGTGAAAAAGACAGTTAATCCAAGAGTGATGTAGAGTGCTGAGAAAATGTTTGTAAACCCCCTGAGATCCCCTGTTTTTGGTAGTGTCAAGTTTCTTAGACAGTAGCCTTATGCAGCCACATTTGCATTAAGAGGATTTATTAATCTGCGTCCTAATAATAGATAATACGTTAACCCAATGAGACAACATGAAACATGAAAAAATATGATACTCTTTCAATCATTTTCTTCAGCTGATGCAACATTCAATACTCTAGACTTTGACTAGGCCTTTGCAAAACTGCTTCTGCAGCCATTCTTTTTTAGAACTGCTTCTATGTTTCGGGTCATTGTCGTGCTGCAAGACCAACTTTCGGTTCAGCTTCAGGTCAGGCCACCGGTCCCTGATATTCTCCTCTAGAATCTCCTGGCACAATGCAAAATTCGTGGTTGTGTCCGTGATGACAAGCTGTCCATGTCCTGAGGCAGCAGAGTAGCCCCAAAACATCACACTCCCACCACTATGCTTGATGGTTGGGATGAACTTCTGCTCAAAAGCTGTGTTTCTCATCGAGGCCAAAGAGTTCTAACTTTGACTCTTCTGGCAACAGAACGGTGTTCCTGAAGCCTTGTGGATCATTTGTGCTCTCTGATGTACTGCAGTTGGGCAGCAGTGTTCTTCTGCTATCCTTCCATGAGCACCACTCTTGTTCAGACATTGGCTGATAGTTGAGCCAGGGCTAATGACTAAGAGAGTGACCTGCAGTTCCTTGGATGTTACTCTGGGGTTCTTTGTACCTTTCCTGATGATCTTCTGGTGTTGTTGGAGGGATGTTGGTAGGATGACCGCTCTTGGGTAGAACGACTTGCAGTTTTGAGTCTTTTTTTACACCGACCTCATGCCGACCTTTTATCTCCCACAAGGAGAAATCGAGTTGATCTGGCGACACCCACAGCTCCTCCCAAACACACTGGGACATAGCATAGGAGTAAGAGTGTATAGGTGGACTCTCAGCAGATTCCTAAACCTTCACCCTGTTCTTACTTCCTGCAGGATGGATGATTTTTTGTCGGAAGCACTGTGGGAATTGTTTGGAATACAATGGTGAGTTCACTGCTCTTTTCTCTACCTCTCGACAGATGTGTGTGTCTTGTCCAGGTGGGTGGAGGTCACAGCAAGCAGGCGCGCAGACAGCAGAGCCCAGGGCGAGGTTCACAGGGAAATAACTCACACTCAGATGGTATCCAGTACTGTGCCAAAGACAGGACAACATAAATAAACATTTAGAATGCAGAGGGTTTGTATTTACTTTAGACTAAGCAGCTTACAAAACCTTTGCTGAAATCCCCGTTACTTTAGTAAGGGAGAATTTTAATTTTTCATGTATGTAAGATTTTTCCCTTACCTTAATAACAAGGGACTGTAATGACAGGTGAGTCTTGATTATGTAATCCAGTCTTACTGTACATTTCAGTATCCAATCCTGTCCTGGAGCTCTAAGTAATTGTTCTTAGTAGGAACACAGCTGAGGTTAATCAACAGCAACAAAGCAAGTGTGAGAGCTTCCGGATCTTATCTGATCTCCACGTTCTTCTACACTTCCTATAACCCCATGTGCTGACCCCCACCTGATTCAGGCTTTTTGGAAAGGATGTCAGCAGGAGCCCAGATCCATCACTGGGGTTCTGTCCCAGTACTCAATGGGGCTCCTTGCCACCCTGCCTGGGAATGTGGAATTCCAGAGAATCAGATGACCTCCATCATGGAATCATGGATTGATCCCAAAAGGCAGTGGTGTCTTCATGGAAGTGGCTCAGGAGAAGACAGACAGACAGACCTTCTGCACTGGTCTTCACCTTCACTGTTTCTTCCCTGGGATCTGAGGAGAGGAGCCAGTCTGCTCCCAGCTCCAGGGACACAGGGATACTGACACAGTGAAACACAGGAAGTTGTTTAATGATGTCTGTGTTGTAGCTGGACACCATGAGATTAACCTTTTCATTATGCTGAGGATCATCTAAGGTGTGAGGACTGCACTCAGCTTGTACATGTGTCACGTTCTCTGTGGAGGTCCTGCACCTCCCAGACAGAAGCTCTGGAGCTGGGGGTGAAGTGACCTCAGCACACCAGGGCTGTGGAGGAGACAGAGCAGCTCCTGTCTGTCCACGTGTTGCTGAGAGCTGACTGACTGAGACACAGATACTCTGCATGACTCCTCTCTTCTCTTTCCCTACAGCTTCCTTTCATCCGTTGCTGTTAAGTATGATGGCCTTTATGGTTTATATCGCTGTCACACAACTATTTATAATTGGTAAGTACTCCAGTAGACCTCTCATGTCATGGTGCAAAGCAGGGTTCACCATGGGTGGGAGCCAGTCCATCGCAGGGCACACACAGACACAAACACAGACACAGACACACATACTCACACCAGGGCCTGTTTTCCCAGAAGCCAGTTATTCTACCAGGATGTCTTTGGACTCTGGGATGAAACTGGAGCACCTGGAGGAAATAAACCCACAGACAGCAGATTCCCAGGTCTGGAATCGAACCCATTGGACCAGCGCTGAGAGGCAGTGCTAACCACTGTCACTGTGTTTTATCAGCAAATTCTGTAGCAGAATGTCAGGACGTCCGTTCATCAGTTCAGTGTTAATGTCGTTCCCGAAAATTATGACAAAACTGTTCGTCAACGACCTGTTTTTCATCTTAGTCAGTGACAATGAAACTCTCATGAATATAATCCACAATGACCATGACGAAGACTAAACTACTTTGAATTTTTGTTTGAGTGCATTCAGACAAGACAAAATGACCTGTTTGACTAAAAGTGAATTTCGCTGTTTTCACTGTTTGCACATTTACTTTCTGTCTGGCAAATAGCAGGCTGGCTGTAACGGGCATACATGTACTGCAGAGCGAGAAGCTCATTTCCTCATTTCCTCATTTCCAACCACACCTCGTGTCACTTGTTGTGTGTTAACTGATTGGTACCCAGATAAACAATGAGATGTATAGTATGTGCTGTACGAATTAGATTAAATATGTGTGGAGACACAAGAAATGCTGTCGGATCTCCAGGCTTTCAGCTGGAAGAAAGATCTGGAGTCTGGCAGTACTTTATATAGGATGAGCAAACCAGGAAAAGCTCTTGCAAAACATTACTGAAGATAAAGAAACAGAATGCAGCTTCATTATGAGTTGAAAACCTAAAACATATTTCAAGCACCATATGAGTCACAGCACCCAGACACTTTTGCACATTGTAGCTAGTGAACAAATTGAATAGAAACCTAAGCAAGAAAAAACATATTTTACATTTTGTGTATTGGGAAACTACTTTTTTGGTCTTGATTAGAGATGAATGTGCAAGAAGGGAATTACTCTTAAAATATGAAGTTGGTTGGACACCTACAGTATACTCTCTGCGTTCTAGCTTTGTGATGGCCCTCTGTCAGAAATGTGATTTTGCTCATCCTTTATTTTCAAAAAGTGAATCTATGAAACAGTTTTTATGCACTGTGTGTATCACAACATGTAATAACCATCAGAAAAGAATGTTCTTAAGTTGTATTTAGTTTGTTTTAATTGACTGGGTGTTTAGCTCCTCAAGAAAATACCATTGTATCGCCCACATCTTGGTGCTCTGCAGGCATTCCATCTTATTTCTTCAGAGTGTGAGAGCACTGTGACAGTCACTCTGTTAGCATGACACTAGCATGGTCATCAGCACCTAGATCACTCTCAGACTCATCCTGGTTTTCCTTTCTGTTTTTCAGGTTATTTTGTTGGTGTTTGTGTAGCAGCTCTAGCTTTATGTGTTGCTGTATGTTTTAAATCGCGCTGTGATCGACGGGGAGCCTGTGGATGTAAGTAAGCTCGTACCTTTAAAAGTGTTGAATCTCAACTGGGAATCAAGGGAATGATTCTCTAGTGCAGGGTTCTCAGAATCGGAGTGACTTGTGTCAAGGCAGGTAAGATCTGAGGGGAGGTGTGATGTTGCATGTGTGTCATTGAAATAGACAGGGAGGAAAGGATGGTGGCCTAGACTGAACACAAAACAGAAACACAGCTACAGTATGTGTGTAACTGGAATGTGTTATATACAGTATGTAAACATATATGAAGTGTAGTGAGATTTCACATATGTTACTTACAGTAGCCCCTCAGTTCCTGGACTGAAGTAGCTGCTGGCAGTTTTTCTTGTATAGTTATTTGGGTATCAGTCCAGGTGGGCAGTGCTTTTATTCAAAGCAGCCGTCGTCCATACCCTTGTACACAGGGGTACTTACTGGAGCTGTCTGAGCACTGAACACCAGCAGAGTCTCACAGGGGGTTCGAACCCAGAACCTTCCAGCTCTGAGTACAGAGCCCTTACCACTGCACTGCGGCTAATATAGAGATCAGCTACAGTATGTATTGTAAATAAAAGCCAGAATTGAGGAAAGCTTGCATAACAGTAACTGATATTACAATCCCACTGCACCATGTACTGTAGTAAGTTTGCTCTTAATTTATGAAACCACATGATCCCAGGGATTTTCCGTTTCTATGTGATCCTTTTGTGAATGAGAGATATTTCCATATCGCTGCAGCAGGTTTCTAAGTATTTTTCCATCTTTCAGCTTTATGCCAGAGAATTACTTTTGTGGTTTTGCTGATGCTCCTAATTACATTGACCTGGCTTTGGATGTCCGAAGTGCCAGACAGTGACAGAGGTAGGTAAGAGTATCTGCTCTCTGGGTAAATCAGGCCCCACACAGCGCATATAACTGTTTCGTTAGTAATTCAGGCTTGAGTACAAAAGCATTTTACAGGGAACGAGAGCAGGTGTGTAACCTATTCTATCACAGATTTACACACTGTCATTTGTGACCCTGTCCTTCAGATAAATAAAAACTGTGAGATAGTCTCTTTGGCTTTATTTATGTTTAATCTGTTATATAGAAAATAGAATAGTTACTTCAAATCACAGATTAAATTGGCTAAAAACAGACTACTGTAATTTGTCCACAGAATTTTCTCAGTCCAAAATCCATCAGTGAAATCACAGCATTATGACTTATCAAATGACTGCACTCCACTGTATGCTTCAGTGATTATTCAATTTGATTACAGGGCGTCTGGGACGGATCTGCGAAGTGACTTTTCT